GGTGTTTTGCGATAGAACTCGCGCAGGAGTGCTGAAAGATGATGAGTTGCCAACGTATGTTTATGACGGAGAAAAATACAATTTCGACGAAGAGGTTACCTATTGCATACTTACAATTTTTTTTAATATAATTTTATTGATGTATTTACAGTTTCATAACTTTCACGATTTTATGGATCAACAGGTGCCGGACGCGACAGTTGCAAATTTGCCTAATGAGGATAGAAATGAGAAGGAGGCTGTGTAAGGATGAATAACGATGAATGTGTGAACATTTTATGTTTTTCATGTTATTTTGTTATTTCGTATTATTGTACTCCAACAATTTTTATTTTAATGATATATTATGTCATTATTGACTCATCTTCTTTTAAGAACACCCCATTGCACATTGTCATATTAATAGATGATGATAGATACGCATATTAAAGTAAGTGAGTGTACAATCTCATGCACACTAAGAATGTTAGATACACACTATAAAGTGTTAACATGGGCAAATTAATCAATAATAAAGTCTTCTAAAGTTGACTGGTCATTCAATACGTAAAAAAAAAAAAATGCACATTATGTTACTGTATTTTCTAATGCACATTATGTTACTGTATTGCGCATGTTAAGTTTTTTTTTATTTGCCACGGACTATAGTTTAAGTAGATAACGAAGCGCAAATTTTGTTGCAGTATTACGCATATTGAGCGTACGTATTGCGCATGTCAAGCTTTTTGCTTGTTTTTAATTTTCAAGAATTGCTCTTTCAAGAATTGTTTTATTTGTTTTTCGTTTAACAAAATACAATAAACGCATGTTAAAGTGATATTTCGCGCTCTTAAATTTGTTTCCCGACGCACTCTAGACTTTTGGCTTCAAAAATATATTTTTTCGATAAAAGTTAATTAAATGTATATTTAAACGCATATTGTTCTTGTCGTCCGCGCATGTAACAGAGCAAAGCAAAGCACATTAAGTGTTTTATAACAATCCACGTAATATTCAAAGATATTTGATGTCAGAACTTTAAGGCATTGGTAGTTGGGGAGACGGATAACATTGAACGGTTATTCAATGCCTTAAAAAACGTGCCCATTAACGCAACATTGAAATCTTCAAATCAGTTCATTGGACCAAGTTATTCGCTTATAAACTGGAAAGAACAACACACAACTGAGCATCAGTTTTCATTGAAATGGCTACCTCTCACGTGTTCGGACGTTCAGAAGAACCATCTCCTTTTATTCCTCATCTTGCATGCCCTCTTCACCCCCCCTCGCCCTCCAGATTGTAGTGATTGTAAAGAAATACAAAGACAACACATTCTAAACCTGAAAGAACACTCGTCATCCTCAGCTGCAAGCTCGTCATGCTGCAACCAAACATCATTCAAGGCTGAGAGAGTTGAGGACATCCGACATCCCAAATAACACCTACGGCTGCCAAGAATTTATCATATACAGCAAGCTTAGAGACCACGAGCCTACATGCATCCACACTCCTTGCTCATGTCCAAATCGAGCTCCTGTGGCAGGCTGGCAGCATGTCGGACGATGCCGGAACTAGAAGAAATGTCTTCAAAGCACTAGAAAAGACGCACTGAATGTTATTGGTGTTGTTTCAATGTGTATTTACGTTTACAAATACTAATGTATTAGATTGTAAATTATTATTTTTATTAATATAGAAACCAACGCTCACTGTGTTCCAATATCACGCATTTTAAATTGTTATGTCGCGCATGTTAAATTCAAAGCATTTATGTGTCATTTTATATGCAAATTATTTCATAATCAAACAAACGCACTTTAAGTTTTGCAATCGCGCATACTAGACTAATTTTCAACGCAATGTTTGAATAATTACGTTTTTATACATAGACCAACGCACATTACGTTTACGTGTTACGCATATATAAGTCGCTCTGTAGTGCACCTTTAAAGTGTAAATCAACGCATATTAAGAATTAAATAGACGTATATTGCTTCCTTTTAGATTCGTGATTAGTAAGTAGGCAACATATATTTTGGTATACAAGGAATAAATGGATGAGCCGACTGGCGAAATGGTAGAAGTCTTTGAATATATTGAATCCGCCCAGGATTGAATCCCCCCCCCCCCCCCCCCCCCAAAGATTTAAAATATTTTTGGCCGTTAATCAACGCATCTAAAGACTTTGTTACAAAGATTTTATAAATAAACCAACGCACATTACGTCTACGCATTACGCATATTAAAAACAAGCTCTCATGTCTGCCTCTGTTGTTGTTATTAATAATATATTATAATTAAAGTAACGAATTAGCTCACTGGTGAAGTGGTAGAAGTCTTTAATTAAAATGATTCCGCTCAGGATTGAACTCCCATAAAGACTTTGAAGTTTTTATTATATTTTACTCCGTACTTATTATATTTTTTGTTTAATAAAATATAATAAACGCATATTAGATTGATATTTCGCGCACTTTAATTGGTTTCCCGACGCCCATTAAACTTTTGGCTCTAAAAAATCATTTATTTCGATGCAAATTGATTAAATTTATATTTACACACATGTTGTTCTTGTAGGTCGCGCATTTAACAGATCAAAGCAAAGCATATTAAGTCTTTTATACCAATCCACGGATAACATTGAATGGTCATTCAATGCCTTAAAAAATGCACCCATTAAAGCAAATCTTGAAAAATCTAATTTGTCTGTAAATCACGCAACATTCAAATCTCAAATCAGTGCATGTGACCAAGTTATTCACCTATATATAAATTATTAGAAGGAACAACACACAATTGAGCATCAGGTTATTGAAATGACTATCTCTCACTTTTCCGCAAGTAGAGAAGAATCCTCTTCATTTATTCCTCATCTTCTCTGACATTTTCATCTTCCTCGCCCTCCAGCTTGTAGTGACTTTAACTAACTACAAAAATAACACATTCTAAGCCTGAATCGTCATTTGTCATTCTCAGCTTCAAGCACATCATCTAGTTTCCAAACAACATCCAAAGGCTGAGAGTTGAGCAATTGTGGGTGGCTGGTGATGTGTCGGATGCTGCCGGAACCAGAAGAAATGTCTTCAAAGTACTAGAAGAAATAAATATGTGCAATCATTTATGTATGTATCATTTTGTCTGCAAATTATTTCATAATCCAACAAACGCACTTTAAGTTTTGCAGTCGCGCATATTATACTTATCTTTAACGCGTCGTATATTAACTAATAATTAAACACATATTAGAGAAAGAAAGTGTTAAATATTGCCTTTGTACGCATATTAACCTTTAATGTCGCGCAAGTTAAATGTTAATCGACGCATTTAAAGACGTTGGCATTTACCACGGACCAAAGTTTCTATACATTAACCAACGCACATTCTGTTTCTGTATTGCGCATATTAAGGTTTAATGTAGCGCACTTTAAAAATGTAATCAACGCATAGTAAGAATTAACTTCACACAGGTAAAGTAGCAATAACACGCATAATAACGTGTTTAAGGTGCGCATATTAGTGGATAAATTGATGCATTTTCGTTTAATAATACCCGATCGAACATTTTCATATCAACAGTCGCATTCTGCTAGACTTAAAGTTGTCACATACAAACAGTCGCATTCATTTAAGAATTTGCTATTTAAATCCACCATTATTCTCGACTCAAACCTGTCTCCTTCAAACACATTTTTGCTTTTATACTCTACCTTGTAAAGAGAGTTTCAATGGCAGCCGAACCCCACTCCGAAGTAGTTGGAAACCAACTTCGCATAGGACTGCGCTGGAATTTCATTAGGGTTCGATCGAGTGCTTCGAGCTGTTCGTTTGCCAGAAACAAAAGGTTCTGAAAGAATCCGATCTATAGAGTGTGTACTTCACGATGTAGAGGTATTATTTTTTTTTAGTGTAATATAAATCTTAATATTTTATATTTATAAAATTTATTACTGTTGATGCATATATATATATATATATATATATATATATATATATATATATATATATATATATATATATATATATTAAATAATTTCAGGGGACTTTTATTCATTTGCACATTCCACAATTGTTTGCGCAAAGGCGGGTTAACAGATTTGTGGAAGGAAAAGCTTATATACTCAGTAGATTTGACGTGGTCTATAGTACCTACAAAAACAAGACCTCTAGTCTCTGGTATATGCTGATGTTCTGTGAGAGAACTGGTGCAATATTATTGAAAGATGATGCTGAGTTCCCAACATATGCTTATGATCGAGAAGATTATAATTTCGATCAAGAGGTGATCTACTGCATACTTACATTGTTTTTCTTTTTTTTTTTATTTTTTTATTTTTTTACATAATTTTATTGATGTATTTACAGTTTAGTAACTTTCACGATTTGATGGATGAACATGTGCCTAATGCTCCTGTTGGAAACTTGGCTAATGAGGATTTAATCAATGAGGAGGCTGCGTAATAAGGATTTATAACGACGAAAATATCAAGATTTTTATGCGTATTATGTCATTATTTGTTGTTATTTTCGTCATACAATTTATTAATGAATAAAATTTATATGTTATCATTTTATGTTTATTATGTGATCTATTTTGTTATCATTGAATATTACCTTTGAACGCATATTAAGCTTTAATGTCGCGCAAGTTAAATGTTAATCGACGCATGTAAAGACGTTGGCGTTTACCACGGACCAAAGTTTCTATACATAATCCAACGCACGTTCTGTTTCTGTACTACACATATTAAAGTTTAATGTAGCGCACGTTAAAAGTGTAATCAACGCATATTAAGAATTAACTGCACGCAGGTAAAGTAGTAATAACACGCACATTAAGCTAGTAGCAGTGATTGTTAAACACAAATCAGTGATAAAAACAAAAACTAGTAATGGCTGGACATTAAATTCAAGTATCTCAACTGTAAAAAGCATTCTGAAATGAGTTAACTAAGTATATGTGTTTCATATTTGCTATCCATTTTCGTCCTCGACTGTAAAGGCATTGAAAAAATAGTCTGCTATGCCTTTTTCTTACCCTTTTGCTTGTCCTTAATTTTGGGGTTAAGTGGGCAAGTCCTGGTGTCATGGTGATCTCCTCTAACACCACAAAAATTGCACTTCCTACCCTCTTGTTTTTCCATTGCCAACTCCTTGCTGCTTTTGATGCGCTTGCCGTTGCCCTTGTTCCTTGCCTGTTTCGGTAGGAGTATGTTGATCTCTGAAATTTCTGTTGATCCACAATATGATTCTATAACAGTTCTCCTGCTGTGCTGAGGGGACAATTTCTCTTTTCCTGACAGTAGCAGCAGTTTCTGTTCATTAATCACTTGGGAAAATGCAGTCAATTGCTCCATGTTTGAACCTGCCAGATCCATACAGCAGTGTATATCAGACCACACTTTGTTCAGCAACATCTTCTTTTCATCCTTTGGTCCATTCTGATCATAAATGACACCATCTATTTCAAATGTAGCTTTTAAAGATGCATCCTTAGTCCACCGATTAACCACGTACTTCAGAGGGATCCTTTCAAGGTCTCTAAAGACCACAAATATGTGTCTACACAACAGTCCAACCATCTCAAACATCTTGCAACTGTATTTGGCCTCATGGTCATTTACGTTGTGAACCACAGTAAATCTTTTGTTCTTTCCATGCATAATATCATAGTGCAACAT